TGAGGACATAAGAGGGCTGCCTGCCACCTCAGTAAAACACTGGCCAGAGATAACAAAGAGAAGCAGAGGGGCCTGGAACATCTGCCAGCCAGATCCTAGGCTCCCTGGTGAGGCATCTGTAACCCCCCTCTTCTTCTCTTTCATTTCACAGAAGCAGCACAACTAGCACGAAGCCCCTTAGGAGAAAAGTGCTCTGCCCTTGCCCACAGACGTCCCCTCTCCAAACTCCAGCCCTACCCTGTCCCTGCTAATCAACCAGCCTCCTCATTTCAGGATCTAACTTCTGTTCAACATTCCTGTCTCCAGTCACCTTCTAAGTCTCCCTCTGACTGGAGTTGATCGATTAGCCATGCCACTTCTTTTGAACACTGTCTACCTACTTAGCAGGTAGTCAAGTAGTCTAGCTGGGGCAGCAGGAGGAGAGACACAGGAAGAAAGAACCCTGGGAAAAAAGAAAATAGCCTACAGGAACTTAAGAGGACAGGATAAAGGCAGAGAGGAAAGAGCTGGGACCTCAGAGAAGCAAGGCTGACACTGAGATCCCTGACACAGTGGTACAGGGTTGCCACTTGGGACAAGACTGGAAATGAGCTGAAGGTTTTGGCCCCTCCTCAATCCCTTCAGCAACCCCAGCCCTACCTTCAGGTGTGTATTTACCCTGCTCTCTCCTTCATTAGCACTAAGGGCTTTCAGAACTAGATGGCAACTAGTCTGACTTTCTATAGCAGATGAAAACGATGCTGAGCACCAACCGGAAGCTCATCTGATTATGATGCCTGTACAGTAAACCCTCAAATGTCTAGTGCTGAGTGACTAGGCTCCTGCATCCAAGCAATACAAGTCATCTTCATTATTATTACTATTAGTGTGTGTGTGTGTGTGTGTATGTGTATGTGTGTGTCTGTGTCTGTGTCTATGTGTAGGCACATGTGTGCCACAGTAGGGATGTGGAGTTGTCACAGACAACTTCAGGGAATTGGCTCTCTCCTACTATGGGTTCTGGTAATCAAACTCAGGTTGTCGGCTTGCATGGCAAGGGCTCTTGCCCACTGAACCACCTCACCAGCCCCCAAAGTACTTTTTTTTTGGCTTGGGGGAGTTTGAGGGGAGGGGTTTTGACTTTTTTTTGGAGACAGGGTCTTACTATGTAGCTCTGGTTGGCCTGGAACTTGTCATGTAGATCAGGCTGCCCTCAAACTCACAGATAGCCACCTTCCTCCCAAGGGCTGGAATTAAAGGCATATGTAGCCATGCCCACCCAAAGTACTTCTTTCAGACTACTTTCACCGAGTCCCCTAACCCAGGGAAATGATTTCCTGAACACTTTGAAGTGCAGGGCTAAGACAGGCTAATAGTAAGAGCCATCTAAGCCTCCCCTTCCTTTTGCCCACCAGGAAATTGTTCTGTGTTGATAGGTCTTGGCCGAGAACTATGTCATAGATAAGACTTTCACAACCACAACCATAGGGTTCTTTCTCCCTTATTCTTCTACCTGCTCTAACATAAGGCACCTATTAGCACTGGTTTTGTAAGGGTTTTGTAAAGGGCCAGGTAAGATTACATCTTTAATGTTACTATATGGGATTTTTCTTTCTTTAACCTTCTTTAAATCTTGAAGGAATTGAGTTGTTACTGTCACACAAAGGAAACTGCAGGAACATTTTGGACATACCTAGAAGTTGAATAGTAAACCTAGCAAAGACCCTTGACATTGAGGCCTCTCCAAACCCCAGCCTACTATGCCCAACAGCAGCCCAAGGCCACGTGTGTATGCTTCTCTGGCCCCCTCCATTGCCTGGTCTCTAATGTCTGGGTGCACAGTCACACCTTACTTAGCAGGTTGGAAGAGCAGCAGCCTTTAGCACCTCTGTCTCCCCCTTCCATGGCTCCTAGTAAAGGGAAGCAGCTTAGCATAGCTGGTTCAAGAAGTTCTGTCCAGAATCAAGAAGAGGGGGCGGAAGGTAGTGGTGTTAACAATCAGCAGCGACAGTGGATCCCACTCATTCCAGAGTCTATTTTACGACTTTGAACTCGGTATGCAAATTTATGCAAGACGAGATGCAAAGCAGTGCTCTGAGCCAAAAGTCCCATTGCTTTCTCCCCTTAATTTTGAAGCTGCAGTGAACCACTGTAAATCAGCGCCTGCCTCTTTCCCCTTCTCCCCCAGTAACTGCAGATTCCCGACTTCCCCCACTCATCACCCATCAGCTGGGTCTGGGTCTTTGAATGACTGACCATTTCTATAGCACCTTTATATGTGCTAAGGACCAGACAGCCACTTGGGCAGCCCCGCCCCTCTGCATAATCCCCTGCATTGTATTCGAGGGGGGTGGGGGGAACAGAGGGAAGGAGGCTGGGGAGATGCTGAGGAAACAGCCTGGCCTGAATTCTGAAAGGGCTTAGCCAGGCCCAAGCCTCCTACCCCTCAATTCCTCCACCCAACCCCTGATTTTTGTAGGTAGATCTGACCAATGTGCCACCTTACACATCACCCACACACTTTTAAAGCAAAGACTTGAGACAGCTCTCAGGGTCCCCTTTTCATTTTTCTTCCAGGCCTTCCCAGCCAGACTGGTTTCTCCTATGAACCAGCAAGGCCCAGCCCATCACCCCCTGGGATGCAGGATCATTACCAGCCACTTCTGCCCATTGATGTGCCCACCCCCACCCCTGCCTCTCTGCCATCCCCAGGAAGCCAACAACACAGCCCCTGAGTCCCGGGAACAAAGACAAAAGAGCTAACAGCAAAGCCGGAACTGCTGGGGTGTGCTTCGTGGAAATAAGAGGGTATGTTTAAAATTCTCAAAAGCAACCTGCACAAAGAGGAATGCGGGGGGGGGCACAGTGCTCTGTCTTCAGAGAATGTGATGGACAGTGGGGGAGGCAGTAACCCTCATGGCTAAAGATTTGTCTGGGCCATGTGCAGCTCCTCCCCATCTGGGAATCCAACATTACTGAGTCCCCTAGTCCTTGCCCCAGCCCATAAGCCTCTCCCACAAGCCTAGAAGCTCCTCTCTCTTTGCCCCTCTTCCTTGCACCCTTTGCAAAACCAGGTTTCTCCTTGGTGACCCCTTTGAAAGCCCTGCAGTCCTGCTGGCCACTGCTTTCCAGTGTACCTGCTCTCTGCTTCTATCCCCATCCCCACCCGCTACCTTGGGTAATGTCCCCACTTCCAGACAGGAACACAAGAGAAAAATCTGGAAAGCATCTGGACCTTGGGGGAAGGCTGAGGCAGCAGCTGGGGTGATCTGGTGGGAGTCCCACAACCAGACAGAAAATCCAAAATGACATTCTTCCCATGAACTCGCCCCATTGTCCCCCGACTCCCCTGACAACCCTCCTTATCCTCCCTCACATCCCTTCAAGACAGCAAGAAGAGTGGCTTAGGGAACCTCCCACATCTGTCGCCTGCTGAAGACCCCAATCTGCTTCAGAGACCTGGAAAGCAGAAAGGTTGGGTTTCAGGCTTAGAGCGAAAGCAATGAAGAGGTGAGGGAGATTAAAAACTGTGAGAGGAAAGTACAACACACTTTATTAAAACTGTCAAAATCCGCACGATTCTGTATGGTCTTTGGAAAGGGTCACCCTGCTGAGGAAGATGTTTAGTTTGTCTCAGTTCAGCTCAGAAATGGTGGACCACATGGTGCCAGGGGTGATGGGGGAGGAGCCTGGCACGGGGAGACGATTTCTCGGGGTCTTTTTCTTTTTATTATTATTACATCTAAAAGAAACAGGAGGAAAGGATTAATTCCAAGGCTGACTGAATGAGAAGAAAGGAACCCAGGATTTCCCTCAAAGGAAGCTCCACCTTGCTCTGTACTCAAGGTCAAAAACGTGTTCAAGAAATAGAAGGTTTCAACTCTGACCCCTAACT